AATTAGAAAGGTCGCTGTCTCAATAGAACAGCGACAGATTTCCAACATGTTCGAGCGTAAACCGTTAAACGGATTTACCCGTTAACCGAGTTTATTATCCATAAACAACGTTTGGTCGCGCGAGTACGTTGCGGTTTACCGGAACAACAACTTGTGGGACAGTTAACGGGGCTTTTACGGGACGATTACCGCGCCATAATACGGTCAATGCATCCAGCGTCTTTCGCCGATCTACGTGAGATAGCGCACGACGTAGATAAGACCGCGGCGCCTCGGTACGCTCAGTCAGCGTCCCGACAGCCAGCCGACATGCCTCCTCGGCATCAACTACCAAATGCAGTACGGCATTCGACAGGCATTCTTAAAATAAGAGATACGAACTATCAACTGCATCAGCACATCACTTCTGTACAGTAGTTACTGGATAGAGAAGAATAGCGTAGAACAGTATGGAATATAGTAGTTCAGGGTCTGAGTTATAAGTGCACGGTGGCCTAGTGGTAAGGTTTGTCTATACGACGCCTTGGGTGGCGGGTTCTAATCCCGTACCGTGCCTGCATCGTCACTAGAATAATTAATTTTTTTATAAACTGAACAGCTAATTTTATGTCTTGTGTAAGGTGATTATATAATGTATGAACAGAAACGTTATTATGTTCCATGTGATCACTAATTATTCATATATATCGACACTTAATTATATCGTCTATTTTATAATAAAAACAAAGGGTTGGGTTGTTTATTAACTCAGTGTAAGTTTTGAAGTATCAAATTATCAACAAAGATTCCCTCAGAAAAATTAAATGTTGCTGATGTTGATATCAATAATTTAAGAAATTATTTTCCATCTGAATTTGTAAGGGTACCAAGGTCATTATATTAAATACTGGACGGCAAATGAATTTTGAATCCTTTTTTTGTATACTTGTCTAATCATATTAAAAGGCAGTCTAAAAAAAATGTTATTTGTATTTCATTAAATATCACCGTTCTATAAAAATATTAATAGCTCCAGATCTATGTGTAAATAAAAATGATATGACCTATAATTTATTAGTTGATTTTGTGAAACAATTTAAAATGAACTATAGTGATCATTTTGTAACTGAAGATATTCTCAGTTTAATATACCTTTCATATTATGTAATAATTCATGGTTACCAGAAAAATTTTAGTGTTTTTTAATATGAAATTACTCGGGACTTTTAAAAAAAATAATTTCTCATTTATGTTTACCATTATAAAAAGCTGCTAATTAAATTTAAAAAAAATAAGTACCATGTACAGTGATCATAATAGCACAGATTTTGTAGAAAACTATAAATTAAGTAATGGATATGAAGTTAATTTATGTAATTTAATAAAAATCACGAATTTACTTTTTATCAAATCTTTATTTTAACAAATAGTAATTATATTATTTATTCTCGAGTTTTCAAAAATAATTATATACTGTTAATTACTAATGAACATGCCCTAGTGAAACATATATAATATATATTTGTTTTTTAATACTATAATTATAGAATATTCAAAATTTTTTTAAATTTACATTTAAGTATTATTTTATTTTTACAGCTTGATGGCAATACTTTTTTATTAAGGAAAGACAAAGTTTACACAAGTTATATTAAGTATTTATTGTATTACATTTTAAATTTAATATATTAATTTATTATTATAATATATACTTTTAATATTTGAAAATTTCATTATCTGTAATAAAATTTTTATTACCATTTGATTTTATAAGTTTTGTGTTATATTAAATTTTATTAAACCAACCCTAAATAAATTATTTTGTCTCTCATTATTCAGATGTTTTTGAATCAACATCTCATAGACTTTAACTTCATCAAACAATGTATGCTGTAAAGTTGTTAATATCCAACATGTTATAGATGTATAAGTTATACGCAATATAAAAGTCATAATATGGTTTCTCATAAATATAGTAAAAGATAGTTTCATAGCTATCATACTGTAACATCATATAGATGAATAGAAAAAAATACCAATCTCATAAACACCTTAGTAATATGATAGGCTCTGAATAGTAACATGTTTTCATTAAACAGCAATTGAATGTTGACTAATAAAAATAAATTAATTATTTAGATATAAATGTATAAGAATTTAAACATTTTATAATGCCACAGGCAATGCTTTTTACTGAATCGGCAAACGTTCGTCGCATTCATTTTTTAATAAAATTGGCAATTTAAGCGGATTCAAACATTATAATTAATTTTTTCAATGTCAATTAGTATTATATAATATTCATGAAATTCAGTGTACCCCATTATAAAGTATATTAAAATAAATTAAAATACAAAACCCAAAATTTTAACACAAAAATAGCACATTTTTGAATATGATAACTATTTTCACTATATCTCGATTTTTTTTTCACAGTATATAAGCTTAAATTTAAGATTAAATAAAAGTATCAATATTTCCGGAAAATGTTCAAAAATTTAGTTGAAAAAGTTTAACTAATAAAATCTGAAATCGTAAATTTTAACACCAAAATAGCATTTTTTTAACTACGGCAGACGTTTACAGGTAGAAGATAAGTCGTCGGGACAATTTTTTTTTTTGAACTTATAGTACATGACATAAGCTTTATTTTAGCATATGTTTGAAGCTCGTAGTATTCCCGTGACATTTTCAAAATTTAAGTTGAAAAAGTTAAATTTTTAGAGAAATAAATGAAAAAAATGTCGACATTTTAAAAATCGTAATTTTTTGGGGAATTTTCACCATTTACGGGGAACGAGGTCAAAATTTTCAATTTTTGAGGGCAATGGCTTCAACTAGATATGATTTGTGATTTTTTGACGTATTGTTGAGAAAAATCGGTCAAGTGAGAGCTGAGAAAAAGTAGTGACAAACACAAAAAAAAATAAAAAAGATATACACATCAAGGTAAAATTAATACCTTCTCAGCATCGCGTCGAAGCTAAAATAAAGAGATAATATAGAATTCCAAAATTAGCTGATATGGAAATAAAAGTACCATAATAATAGTATTTTAATTGTACACGAAAAAAATTGAATTTTTCAATTATGAAGAGTCTAAAATCTGAAATATTTTTTGAGAAAAAATGTTACTCAATATATGGTTTACGAAATAAGACTTTATCGTATGGAAGAAAAATAGTTCAAGTAGTTCAATAAAACATAAATTTTACTTTAAAAATAAAATATCCAAAAAATATGTAACTTAATATATATTTGTATGAGAGTAATTTTAAGGTTGTTATAGAAAAAATTTAAGAGATAAATTAAAAGTATTATAGCCTTCAAATATTTAATTCAATTAATATTTAAATATTTTTATGAATTTAATGATAATATTTAAAAATGACGTGTCGAAATCAATTATTGAAATAGTTTTTCAGAAGTTATTAACATTTTTAAATATTGAGTGGATGAAAAGTGCAATAGAGTATTACTTAATGTTAAAAATAACATAATCCACACCTCAACTCCACTCCTAAAAATAATTATGCATTAAGTGACAATAGATCAAGAAATTACAATTAAACCAAACATTACGAAAATGTTTTACTGTCAGCTTTACAAAATAATGACCTATATTACACTTTTGAAAACTGTTAGTTATTGTCCAGTGATTTTGCTCATTGGTTTCACTTGCATGACCATCCTAATATTTGTGTTTTTATTTTATTTCAGGCAGTCGTTCAATTTTCGAAGACATAGTCGAAATACTTTTTACTAATTTAACTAAATTTGATGTTTTATTTTTTCACGCCTATTGTAATATGTAACACTTTTATGGATGTATATATATATATATATTTGAGTTTTATTTGTACAAAATCAATAGCACTCCTAGAGATTGATTCCCTGGTTATCAAAACATCTATGCTAGTAATATTGAACCGAGACTACTTAACCAGACCTTTCTAATAAAGAAAAGTAAAACGTAAAATTGTAGTATTTTATGTCAACGAAAAAATAACATTTAGATAGATGATCAGGTTCTAAGCGTTTGTGTTCACAGATAGTCTCATATTATATTTTTTATATTATTGTTATAAAAAATGTAAATCATTATTATAATAATTCTAAATTGTAGAAAATATAGCCCTTAAAATTATAAAGTTTTTGTTTTCCTTGTGAATTTCTCCACAAAGTTTCACATTTATAAATATTTTGGATTAAACCTTAAAAAAAAAGAAAATTAAATTTTAAATTAATCAAAAATTATATTCAATATAATGAAACATTATAGATGTCATATGATTATCATTAAGATTGGGGCTGATGGCTTAATACCCTAGAAATATGAAATTCATCAGATTATCAATAGTGTGCTTTTAAAATTAAATACTCAAAAGAATGATAAATTATCAAAATAGTACTTAGGATAGCTACATTTTAAACACTAAAATAAAATGAACGTTTAAAAGTTATAATATTATTTTTAAGAATCAAAAATATAGAAAAAAAATATAAAATTAATATTTTTTATTAAAACTATTAGATTAATAAAATGAAACGTTTGCTTTAAAAAATAATTACTAAAAAAACAAAAAAATTGCAAAAAAAAAAAAATACTAATGACATGTTTTTAAATTTGTTTCAATTACAAAATGTATTTATACAGTATTACTATATGATTAAAAATCACTGCCGCATATCAATCAATTTTAATCTAAATAAATGCCTCAAAAATATTATGCTAGATCTTAATAAAAAAGTTTTCTCTACTAATATTACTTTAAATTTAATTATGATAGTAATATGTGTTAAAAAATTAAAGACAGTTTTAATGCAATGATATTTTAATATATAAAGAAAAATAATATTTTTATTTTCATACTGTTTTCATTCAGTGCGTAATTCTTATTGCAATTGTCTGACTGTATCACATCGTATTTTATTGACTAATTTTTGTGGTATATTTTCGTACGGAAAAATGTTCAAAAACACCGTAACTTTGACTTACGGTCGTATTTTACCTTTGTATCTGTTAAAAATATTTATCGAGTTACATCTAAATTTAGAGACGCTAACAAACGTAGACAAATATTTTTGACACAGATTCCGATGAATTTATCAGTATAAAAGACGAACTGGCGATCGTTAGAATCAAATCGTGTTCACTTCGATCCATTGGAAGTCAGCAGTAAATTCAAACAGACTTAAACTATCAAAAAGAGTATTCGACACTTGAATAAAATGGCTCACTTTAAAAGCGCAGTTGTATTGTGTTCAGTGTACTTCATTGCCGGTGCTTTGGTAAGTGATTCTTTTTGTCGACAATACAGATGTAATAAAACTACTTATATTTACAGTCTATTACTAACGATGAAATAAAAAAATTGTTATCGTTCATTGGGAAATTAGTGGAAAATAATTATGATCTTTCAGATAATGCTTTGAGTGATTTTTCGCCGGAGGTACCTAGTAAAAGCAAAATTTGCGTAACAATTTACTATTTAATATTTTTTTTGTCGTGCAGGCCAAGAATATTATAAATGTGATTACATCACATGACCAACAAAAAAACCTTACATTTAGCAATGATGATTTTAATAAGATTTGTGATGAATTGAAAGAACAGTATCCACTTATAATGCAAATGAGAAAACCATTGAAGGATATTTTAAAGACAAAACCTGAATCTCTCGTTGGATATCCACCATTTACTATTGTGGAAAAAAGGCGACAATTCTAAAGTAATAATTATAATGTTTTACTGTTTTACATGTTAAATTATATTGAAAACTGATAGTTATTGTTGAGTGATTTTACTTATTGGTTTTACGTGCATAACTGTTCTATTATTTATGTATGTTTTTTTTCATTTCAGGCGATTTTTGATGATCTTCTATTTGTTTCACTTTTTATTAATTTAAGTAATATTTTTGTTTCATTTTGTCGCACCTATTGTAATTTATATAAATTTGAGTTTTTTTTTTAAATACTATAGTATTATTATTTGGCCAGAGGTGCATTTTTTTACACCGATTTTTAATCTGATGCAACCACATTATGGCAGAGGTAGTCAGTAAAAGGGTAGAGCGTTTGCCTCTGTTAAAGGTCTCGTATGGTCATACATCCGAAAACTAACAGCAAACAGCGTAGCTGAACTTCATATAAACTCACTTCACACATACAGGGTGATTTTTTTATCATAACCCACTCAATTACTTGCAGAATAATAATAATTAAAAAATTTTTTTTTTCATTATCTTTAGTTACACATTATTCTTGAATTTTTAACTATGTAATACCTTTTAAGTTCATCCCTTATGCCTTGGAAGGGGGTCAACTTTTTTTTTTAAATGGTAAAACATATTTTTAATTTAATAAAATGCTTGAGTTTTTAATTTAATAGTAAATGGCATTTTAATTTTTAATATAACTTAATTCGTTTATTAGATATAATCATTTAAAGTTTCAAATTTTTGAATTAATATATAGGTGTTATACACAAGGGGTTACAAATATAAGTAGCTAATTGGTTTTTTATAACATCGATATTAGCAAGTACACAGCATTGTTATTATCAATTGTAGTAAGGCACATTATTATGAGTTTATAAATACACTAACTGACAATACAGAAAGTATATCTATTGATAGTCATAATTGATAATAAACAATCCGTGACTGAGACAGCAATGTCATAAAAATCCTATTAGCTACCTGTATTTACAAACCCATGTGTATTATACATGTATATTCACTCAAAATTTTGAAACTTTAAATGTTTATATCTAATAAGCTAATAAAGTTATATTAATAATTCAAATGCTATTTACTATTAAATTAAAAACTCAAACATTTTATTAAATTAAAAATATGTGTTACCATTTAAAAAGACAAAGTTGACACCCTTACAAGGCATAAGGGATTAACATAAAAAGTATTACATTGTTAAAAATTCAAGGATAATGTGTAACTAAAGATAATAAAAAAAAAAATGTTTAAATTGATTATTATTCTGCAAGTAATTGAGTGGGTTATGATAAAAAAATCACCCTGTACTTCCATGAGCAACACTGTTCTTTTATTTGTATGGCTTTAAATTTGATTAGTTCTGGTCTAAAATAGTCACATTCGCAATGTGAAATAAATCCCAGGAGAAAATATTTTTTCTCATGGGTTTTTTCACTTTTTAATCACTCACGTAATACTTTAGTGAGTATTCAGCTAATATTTAGACACAAAATGTACAAGTTTTATAGATACAAATAAAAGGGCAGAATTACTTATGTAAGTACGTGTGAAGTGAGTTTATTAATTAAAGAAACAAATCACTCGGCCACAACGTCTATATCACTACTGTAAACTTTTTTATTTTTCTACTATCTCACATTTACACTTATTATGAACGTAAAGACATAACGAAACAACTACTCAGTTTATTCTCAAGTAAGCAATTATCACTTACTTTTACTTAAGTGCTTATCATTTTAAAACTATGGGTTATAAATACTTAATAACAACCAATTATTTAAAATGGCTGATAATTAAGTAATAAGTTAAATTAAGACAATTTATGAGTATTTACTGCTTAAAACTATTCCGCGTATCATTTATGTCTCCCTCGACATTCCACACCATCCTCTCATTTATGGTCTTTAAAAACTCTTTTTCATTTTCCCTTTCAATTTCCACCACCGGATCCTCGACATCCCTTATGTGTTCTATTGTAACTCAAAAAAAAGAAATTTTATTAAAAAGATTTAATTAATATGACTTAATCATAATTAAACTGTGTTCTATTATTCCCACTATTATAAGTTATATAATATTTTTCCCGTTTTCTAAAATAAATATTAACCACGGCAAGATGATACGATACAGCGACATCCAGGATTTTTTCTCTAGACTCATTCTATTCATTAAAACCATTCCCTCCATGTACTCTTTCATATCCTGTCCTCTCATTACCTACATGTCCATTCATATCTCCACCCATCACTGCATCCTCATTACCAGGTATTCCTTGCATCACCTCATCCATCTCTTTCCAAATCACATACAGGTGTAATATTATATTATTGCATATAATATTAACATATAATATGATGTTATCATTTGTACGTGTATGTCACATATTATGATTATACAAGATCACCAAAACAGGGTTCTCTTATTTAAGATACAAAATAACCCTTTAATTTTACTATAAAATCTCCCTCTTGTAGAAATTATTAAGTAACGCCCACACGCAGGGACCCCATTTTAATTAACCAATTAAAATACTAAGCCTCAGCTTCCAGGTTTAATTTAATTTAATTTGTTAAATAATTAATAATATTTTATTTTTCTTGTTGTGGAAATAAATATCAAATAATATTTTAAACATTACATCTTTTTAAAATTATTTTATTTTAATAATAAAACCAACCTAACTTTAGATTTTAATTATAAAAAAATATTGTGAGCTTTTCTTATTGGGTAGCTAGTTTCGTTACTAATGTCTTTGTTTTAATGAACATCGCGCCGGCAGACAGCGTAAAGAAACTTACAAATATATTTTTAGTGTTTAATTTTTGTCTTGGTGATTATTGTGCCGCATCCTTTCAAGGTGCTTTATTTGAGCACCGGGACACATTGGGCCACCACAATTCCGCCTTGATAAATTTTTTACATAAATATAGATATTTCTGAATCTTGTTTTGGCCAGGCCAGAGGAAAATTTAAGAAATATTGGTATCGATCTCTCAATAAAAATATACTCTCTAAAAAAATACTTATTCAACAGACGTAAAAAAAAATCAATATGTAAAAAAAATTAAAATTGTATTTATAATAAAATACAGAGTGTTTAGAATCAATCACAAGTGAGACCAGTTGTGGACTTTATGTAATTAAATTATATTATTTAAAGTCTTGAATCGTTTTCATAAGTAATTACATAGACTATACGACGTATAGTGTAAATCGTGTACGTAGTGCGTTCAACGCGGAAATCAACACTGGATTACTTGAAATATTACTGTACTGCATAGGACGTAAGGTAAGTACAATTTAACCTATGCTTTCGAACTTCCAACAATCTATTGCGTGATAAATCATTAATAATTAATGAGAAGATTAATTTAAATAAAACTGAAGACAATTGAATCTACAAAAAAAAAACTTATAAATAATTTACTGAGTACTACCAAATTGTTTTTATATTTAACCTATACTTTCTCTACTTAAATAATTACCACTTTTTCTCTTTTCTTTTTATTTTCGGTTTATTACACAGGACGCGAAAAATGTCATCGAGATTGATTCCGCAATGGAGCCGTTTGATTTTATCGGAATTAATAAGTACGGAAATGTGCACAAAGGACCCACGCACGCGGTTGGAGTAGTGGACGGCCACACAACACTCACCGCCGGCACCACTACTTTTACCGCGAACATCGCAAATGTGGCGATTAATTTTACGGCCACGATCTTGAATAATCTGCACCGTGGCGTACTCTCAGGGCACGATTTTCTGACCGATCAGGAAGTTCCTTGTGATTGTGTTGCACGCACAATTCATCTAGGCGCAATACTGCGGCGTGATGGAAAGCAATCGGCTGCCGCATTCACCACAGTATAGACCTGCCAATATTAGATATAACGGGCGACCCACATAGGCGCCAACTATTAACAAAGATAGCGAAAAACCACGCTGCGGTTTTTAATGACACGGCGGGACGCACGTCATAAAGAAAATAATCTCCAAGTCAGTCATTTAATTATTGAGTTACTAGTAAATATCATTTTAAGACCAAAAACATTTCAAACAAAATACGATGATATAGTGAACTGATTAAACTGTCTAAAATAATCATTATTAGCACTTAAATCATTATTGTTTTTATTTTGTGATGTCAATATCTACCAAGGCCGTAGTTGGAACAAATTTTCGGGGGGGGGGAGTGTTTTAACCAAATTATATGTTTTTAAATAATTAAAAAAAAAATACTAATACATAACATAAACAAAAAAAATTGTCTATTAAGTTAGGTTATACTACAAGATATTATACTTTATTTTATGACCTACCTTTGTCATTATTACCTTTTGAAATATACTACAGTTAAAATACAAAATTATAATACAATACAATACAACATTTTATGAGTCATTTTCAGTTTAAATTTTAAAATAATACATGTTTATAGCACCTACATGTTGAATTTTATAGCATTAAACTAGTATTAGTTGAAATAAACCATAAAAAATGGAATAAAATAAAAAAAAATAGCTTTTCTTTAAAAAAAAAAAAATTTTGCTTTACTAAATTTGTTAATTTTTAATTTTACATATCTCTTTGTTTTTATTTTAAATTTAATTATCTGATTATTCATAGTATTTGTTCTGTACCACAAGTTACTTTTCTTTAAATCAACTTAAGTTTTATAATATTCAATCAACACATGACCATTTTCGAATTTAATCATAAACTAGATCGATAAATATTTATCTTATCTTGTGTTGTATTAGTCTAAAATCTATAATTGTAGAGGTCTACCTATAACCATGATATGTTCATACTACACGTCATATAATCAATATAATTACTTACGATTCAAATTTTAAATAATATGATTTAATTACACGAAATCTATGGCTGATTTTACTTGTAAAGGATTCTAAACATTCTTATATTTTTATTATAAATATAATTATAACATGTGTCCTTATTCGATTTTTTTTACCTTTGTTGAACAAGTATATTTTTTGAGACGGTATATTTTACTGAGAGATCGACACCGATATTTCTTAAATCTACATGTGGCCCGGCCAAAACAACATTCAGAATATTTATACCTATGTAAAAATTTTATCAAAGCACTATTGTAGTGACCCAATCTGTCCCAGTGTCGACGCCTTGAAAGGATGCAGCACAATAATCACCAAGACAAAAATTCAATTTTTCGCGTTGTCTTCCGGCGCGATGTTCGCTAAAACAAGGACATTAG